AAATCATCCTGGAGATGTTGTGTGATGAGTTCAGGTCCAGATCTACTGTAGTGCAGACATTCAGCTTGGACGAGCCAAGGATGCTCACAGAAATCACCCTAGGAATTAAAAAGCAGCTTACATTCACAACATAACCATGAATTCAGAGCAAAGATTATACTGAACCGTTAATATCCTTGTCTTTAAATGGAGGATGTTCCTCAAGTTTGGTTTCACTAAGGCTCCTGACGCCACTCTTCAGTGATCTCCATCTGCTGCAGCTTGATGATCACTGCCACATGGAGTACGAGAGTTGATGTTAATCAGCATTTAGGATCACAGGAACCTGCAAATACATCATTAACGTAAGCACCAGGTGTGCCTAATCAAGTGGCTTATAATAAAACACCAATCAGTCTTGGAGGGGACAAAGCGGTTCTGGATCGAAATCTGGAAAATTGGCAGTGGAAACCCTCACCTCCTGCTACACAGATGGTCCATGGTACCCCAACACTGGAGTGAAGAGCTGGACAGGCGGTGTAATGGGCCTGTGCAAAGGAAAAAACAGTTAGGGTGATCAGAGCATCTCAATCATGTCACACTTACCTCATGAGTTAGCATTACCCCAGCAGGTCAAACAGCTTCATTCTCAGAACTGAGCTTGCAGATCCAGTATCTCCAGGCAAAGCTTCTCCACTGCTTCAGGTCCAACGGGTTCCAATCTGCAGTCAATTATAGATAAATCAAAAACATTTCTGGAAACTACTATAAGTACGGATGAACAAGATCTTAAATACCTGCTGATGTAGTAAGCCAGAGACTGAAAAACTCAAGTATGATGGTAATTTGCCAGCAATAGACGTTTACGTGAAAAAAAAAAAAAAAAACAGCTGTACAAACATTTCCTGCAGTCTTTACCTCACATTTTACAATAAACCAATCGAGTCTTTAAAAACGTTTAATAGGTGATCTCAATCATATATCAAACGCTGACCAGATGTGCCGGAGCGTACGATCAAACAAAACCCAGAGAAGAGAAAAGCTTACCAGATGTACCAGAGTATACAGTCACACAAAACCAGAGCAGAAACGCTTGCCAGATGTGCCGGAGCGTACGATTAAAAAACCCTAAAGAGAAACTTACCAAACTGTATTACAGTACACAGTCGCACAATACCAGAGAAGCAAAACTCACCGGATGTGCTAGAGCATACGGTCAAACAAAGTCTGAGAATATTTGCTGATTGAAGATGCAGATTAATGCCTTACAAAAACAAGTCTGAGCTTAAACTGCAGTGTCAAAGGCAAGAAAACATACACCATGCTGCTTGTACATAGAGAACACAAACGAACAGAGCAAGTCTTAATGGCAGAACCTGAATATTGACAAAATGGAGAAACTTGGCACCAGATTTTTTTAAAGAGCAGGAGAAGTACAATACCTCTGCTTGAGGAACTGGATAAATACCAGTGCCTCCGATCAAAGATTGAAAAGGAAAATTTAAAAAAATAATAAGTGAGACTGGGCTCATTGGTTTAGTTGTAGAGTCTTTTCCCAATACAGTTAAAGCAAAAGGCACAAAGGTTAAAGACAAGATTGAAGGATAGGAAGGTTTAAACCCTTCAGTTCTGCTTTACTGTGGAGTAAAAGTTGCTTTAGACACTCGTTTGCAGAACTGAAGATACAGACGGGGGTATGAGAGGTGTTGAATCGCTTAAACTGATGAAACTGCACTGAGCTCCATAATCTACACAAACACGAGCAGAACCGCGTGAGGTGTGGAGTAAACTCCGTCTGACTACAAACAGCACTCATCAGTATTCACTCACTTTACAGACAGTTTAGTTAAACCATTTAAAATTCATTTGTAAAGGACTTGAAGGTACAGTATAAAGGCAGAAAACACAGAAGCTGATCAATGTTACAGACAAACAAAAAAGGTAGGCGATAAACATCTCTACAGTTTGATTAAACCAGTTTCACACACCTGATTTCAGGTCATTCAGCAAAGCAACAAAAACCCTGGAAAGTTACAGGAGAAAGGAGAGAAATCTACAACACTGCAGTCTTGGAGAAATGGAGAAGGGTTTCAGTGGAGACTCAGATACTCAGAACAGCTCAAGTCAACCGGACACCAGATTATAAAGCACATCAGCAGAGTCAGAACACCGGTGTGGAGAATCACTGAACCCTGAACACAGCAAGAGCTCTCAATGCACAAACACACAGCAGAAACCTTCAGTGTGCAGACACCAGAACACTTCATTAGTCAGCAAATACACATCACACACACACACACACACACAACTGCCAGAGGACAAACTGAGCTCAGTCACTGATAGTAGTAGAGTGATGATTTATGGAAGAGTGTGTGTGTGTGTGTGTGTG